GTTTAGATGCCAGAAATTCAAGGAATTTCTTATTGTACTTCCCTGTTCTACTTGTCTGTCATGTTATTAGAATTTTAGCTGGACCCGTGGTGAGCCAGAATATAATGCTATACTTCATTAGTTCTCTTTATAAAACAAGAAGAAAGAATACTCAAGAAGGTGAGCCCATAGGATACCACAGTGTGAATATGGGTAACCAGAATTCACACCTGCAGAGCCAAGATACAGGAAGGATTAGTCCCCTAAGAAAAAAGAGGCAGCCAAGCAACTTTCATGCCAAACCTTGGCACTGATTGGGTGGAGAATCACCAGCTAAGAAAGCTAACCACAGATCAGGACACAGGTAGGTTTGTAGTATGAACCCACATGAATGGTGTGACCCTAAAGAACTCAAATAGAAACTTTAAGTAAAATAGCTCAGTACGGTCCCTTGTAACTACAGGAAGCAAATATACATGCTCTCAAGCTGTTGAAATGTGAAACACGTGTATTTCAGAATTGATGACATATAGTACATTTCTTATTCTTGCAACCACAGGCAAATACAGCCATGTGACTAATGAGATCCAGTGGGATATCGAAGGTGCTTCTGAGAATTTTTCTGTGATATGCTCTTTGCCTCGTCTTCTTACTTCTTCTCTCCATCTTGCTGTCTGGAGCAGATGCCACATCTCACACCTGAGCCAGCTGTTGCAAACCAGGATGGTGGAGTCATGAGCTGGGGATTCGGTTCCTGAGGCCCTTGTGAAGCAGAAGCATCGCCTGTACAGGCTTGCAGGCTTGTTGTTTTATAACCCAGTCCTTAAACAGACAGCTTAGGTGCTAGAACTCAGGGGATTTCTGACTGTCCTTCAATATTCTTGCAGACTCACAGAGGACACTGTGTTCGAGCCCTAACTACTTGTGTCTGTCTCCCTGTTGATTATAGCTGAGTCTTAGCTATGTAGGACATCAAGATGATGAAGACACCGTGTCCACAAAGCACGAAGAGCTACCCATTAATGGTTTCCACTCAGTGTGAAGAGAACTATAATGAAGGGACATAGAAAGTGGGAGCGTGGGGAACAATCATCTAACAGAGGGAACAGGAATGTGTGTGTGAGGCCAGAAGCCAGATGCTGGTTGTCAGGCCTTGAGTGGGAGCCGGGGTCCCCTCCAGGTAAGCAAAGCTGCACAGTGCTGTGGAGATCCACACGCTGATCAGCTGCCAGATGGGATCTGGAGAGCCATGGAGGGGAAACTGCAGGAATGAGGAGCTTGTGCTGGTGAAGAGCTACCCTCTGGTGTTGGTGGCCAGCAAGGAAGACGAGATGACAGAGGCCCTGCCCCTGTTTCTAGGAACAACACAGGTTGAGTCACCATATGGCCTCATGGCATATTGGATAAACTTCCCTCTGTTACAACTGAACTCTCTAGTCCCACGTCCTCGGATATCAGTATCTTTGATAATAATGTGCCCTTAGATGAGCATGAGGGACAGCCTTTCCTTGACATATCTAGCATTAGACTTGAAAAAAGATTGCATAGTTTCTACAAGTTGCCGAGTAATGGCAACAGTGAAACCTCTGAGGGAGCCAGCATCCTCTGAAGCCTGACTGATCCAGAGTAGGAGGCCTCAGCTTTATGCAGAAGAATCGCTTATCAGAGAAAACCTAGAGAGAGTGACACTTTCACGTGGTTCTTCTCCCCCTTCTGTGGACATTTATCAACCACCTACAAGTTAACATGCAAAGAGTGGTGCTCATTTAAAGAGGTTGCCATGTTAGCAGAAGCAAACTGAATATACAGCACTGTGGGATGCTGAGCTGAACCAGAGTGCTTAGAGGCTTTGAAGAGACTTACAGTCCCTTCAGAAACAACTCAGAAAAAACAAGTACTGAGAAGAAAATCTTTTAAAGAGAAAGTTGCCTGGGCTGAGTTCCATTATCAAAGTAAAAAGATTCAATCCTGGTGGAGAAGAGGAAGTAAAAGACGACGATTATATAAGGCTTCCAGATGGGAAGTGTGTCCAGTGGGGTGTTGGAGTCAGCAAAGCCTCTTCCACCTTCTTAGCAGCAGACCAGAATCTGATTTTAGGGCTGGCCAAATAGCTCAGTGGATTAAAGCACTTCCAAGCAGGCACAGAGGATGGGGGTAGGGGGTGGG